CACACACATAAATAAATAAAATTAAAAAAATAAATAAAATAAATTATTTCTAGGGCCTGGGATATAGCTCAGCAGCACGGTGCCTACCTGGCAAGCTCGAGGTCTGGAGTTTGATTCCTACTTTCAAAACAAAAAACAGGGCTGGCCAGATAGCTCAACGGATTAAATCACCTGCTTAGGCAGATGCAGGGAAAGATCCCTGGCATGGGTGCTCTGAGATGCTCTGAGACTGTAATTGAGACTGGGCAGGGTGGTGAGGCTGTAATCCCAGCAATTGGGAGGCTGAAAATAAGAGAATCACTATAAGTCTTGTCTGTGTGGTGAGACCCTGTAGCCCCTGTACTAAATAATTTTTTTTTTTCTTTCAGAACTGGGGATTGAACTCAGGCACTTGTGCTTGCCAGGGAAGCGCTTATTCTACTGAGTCATCTCCCTGGCCCCTGCACTAAATAAATTTAAAACAAAAACAATTGCTTCCAGCTTTTTGCTAATTGAAATAGTATATAAGTAAATATCCTTTACATTTATCCTTATGTACTAGTGCTTTTTTTTTTTTTTTTTTCCCCCAGGGCCAGGGATCAAACTCAGCCCTATGCTTGCCAGGCAGGCACTTATACCACTGAGCTATATCCCCAGCCCCTGTACTAGTGCTTTTATGCCTATGATTTGTATTCCTAAAAGTTGTCTTGTTTTTTAAGGTGCATCTAAATAAAAATTCTCCCTTTCTGTAGCATCTCTTGTTATTTCTCTTCCCTGTAGTTATTATTTATGCCTCATCTAACCTCTTGTTCATTTACTGTCTTTGATGGCCCTTTGTTAATTTTTTTTTTTTCTCCCAGTACTGGGGATTGAACCCAGGGCTTTTACACTGGATTACATCCCCCACCTTTTTTTTTTTTAATTTATTTTATTTATTTGTGTGTGTGTGTGTGTGTGTGTGTGTGGCCAGTTCAGCCCACCAGGGGGTGGGGCTGGCTGGCATGTAGTGCTGGGGGATTGAACCGAGGTCCATGTGCTTTGTGCTTTGCTAAGCTTGTTCTAAGTAGGTGCTTTAGACCACTGAGCCATCTCACCAGCCCTGCCACACCCTTTTCTTTTCTTTTCTTTTCTTTTCCTTTCTTTCTTTTTTTTTTTTTTTTTGAGACAGGGTCTTACTATACAGTTCCGGTTGGCCTTGAACTCCCTATGTAGTCTAGGCTGGCCACAAACTCATAGTCATCCTCATGCCTCAGCCTCCCAAGTGCTGGGATTACAGGCCTGTGCTACCACATTCAGCTCTAGCCCTTTTTTAATGTTTTATTTTGAGATGGGGTCTTAGCTGTCCAGGCAAAGCTCAAATAAATGCTTTTTATTTTTTTTTAAACTTCATGCCTGTCTTGTCTTGCCAAGTAAGTTATAAAAATAGAAGCTTTACACTGGGCATAGTAGGATGTTCCTGTAATCCTAAGTACCCAGGAGGCTGAGGCAAGAAGATTGTACAGGGTTGTAGGCCAGCCTGGGCTACATACTGAATCCACAACTACCCTGGACTTTACAACAAGACTGCTTCTTAAGGGCAAGCAGGATATGTTGCATGGTGCACAGTAAATAATGATGAGAGAGAGGCTGGGGACATAGCTCAGCAGCATAAGTGCCTGCCTGGCAAACACAAGGTCCTGAGTTCGATCCCTGGTACCAAAGAATAAAATAAATTTAAAAATAATGACAAGGGGCTGGGGAGATAGCTCAGTAGAATAAGCACTTGTCTGGTAAGCACAAGGGCCTGAATTCAATCCCTGGTTCTGGAAAAAAAAAAATAATAATAATGACAAGAGGGCTGAGGAGATAGCTCAGTGGCATAAGCGCCTGCTTGGCAAACAGTCCTGAGTTTGATCCCTGGTACCAAAAAAACAAAATAATGATGAGAGAGACTGAGGGTTGATAGTGAGAAAATGAGAAAAAAACACCTTAAAATTTTCCCTTTGGTGGACAGATGGGTGCTGAGGGCAGCTGTGTGCATTTTTCTCTCATCTTACAAAATGATTGAAAACAGCTGTTCAATTTAGTATCTCTCGTTTCAGGCAAGTACATCGCCTCAACACAGCGACCAGACGGGACCTGGCGCAAGCAGCGGAGGGTGAAAGAAGGCTATGTGCCCCAGGAGGAGGTCCCAGTGTGCGTGCTTAGGCTTGAGGGAGGGGATTGAATGGGTCCCTACTGAAGCATAGAATGTGTGTCTGCAAGTTCAGGGACGCCCTGAGGGTTCCAGGTGCCTAGTCTTGTTCCATGACTTCTGTTCCTCGGAAGCTTCAAATAAAGGACCAGAGAGATAACTCAGTGGCTTACGTGCCTGCCTGGCAAGTGCAAGGTCCTGAGTTTGATCACTGCCTAAATCATCCAATAGCTTTCCTGTAACTCAGACCAAAAACAAATTAAAACATTTAGACTGGGTGTGGTGGCACACACCTGTAATTCTAGTGCTTGGGAGGCTAAAAACAGAAGGATCACTACGAATCCTATCTGTGTAGTGAGACCCTGTACTAAATATATTAAAAAAATAATAATAATATAGAATCTCCAAATAGCACTCAGAGTCACAGACCTTTGGGTCCTAGGAGCACTCCTGCAGCTCAGAGCAAAGCTGGGGAAAGACCTAAAGGGATGAAGGAAGTAGGGGTGTGATAAGAGTGATTTGGGGCTGGCCAGACAGTTTAGCAGGTCCTTAGACGATTGAGACTGGGTATGGTGGCACAGGCCTATAATCCCAGCACTTGGGAGGCCAAAAACAGGAGGATCACTATGAGTCCAATCTGTGTAGTGAGACCCTATAGACCCTGTACTAAATACATTTTTAAACAAAAGTTATTTGGAATATTAAGAAAGGAGAAAAAGTCTGTGATTGTTAGAAATTTTGTTGATTTCTTCTGTTTGCTGCAGGTATGAAAACAAGTATGTAAAGTTTTTCAAGAGTAAACCAGAACTTCCCCCAGGGCTGAGCCTTGAGGCTACCACTCCCGCCACCCCATCCCGACCAGAAGGTGGTGAACCAGGCCTCTCCAAGACAGCCAAGCGCAATCTGAAGCGAAAGGAAAAGAGGCGGCAGCAGCAGGAGAAAGGAGAGGTAGAAGCCTTGAGCAGGACTCTTGATAAGGTGTCCCTGGGAGAGACAGCCCAACCCCCCAGTGCTCCACCAGGCTCCCAGGCAGCCCCCACAGCTGCCTCGGACCCGCCTGACTCAGCAGCCACCACTGAGAGAGCCAAGAAGATTAAGAACCTAAAGAAGAAGCTTCGGCAGGTGGAAGAGCTGCAGCAGAGGATCCAGAGCGGGGAAGTCAGCCAGCCCAGCAAAGAGCAGCTGGAGAAGCTTGCGAGGAGGAGGGCGCTGGAGGAGGAGCTAGAGGACTTGGAGCTAGGCCTGTGAGGCTTGCGAGTAGGAACAGACTGCAGAACAAACCACAGGGCTCTCTGGGCTCCAGGGGAGTGTGAGCGGCCGCGTCAGCAGGGGCGCCCCTAGCGGCTCACTTGCACCTCTCGCTCCTCCGGAAGGTAGCTGTCCCTCTGCCCTTCCTCTTTCCAACGTCTATATTTTGGACTTTTACCTTTCCATTCCCAGTGTTCAAAATCTCAGTGACTGTCCCAGGTACCTGATTTGGGTGTCTTGTTTAAAAAGAAAATCGGGTGAGTGGGAATCTGTGAGAACCGAGGTGGAGGGTGGAGGAATGCACCCACGTCTTGGAGTCTTGGTTCCTCTTCATTGTTTTATGAAGTATTTCCTTGTCTACCCCAGCCCACCCCCCTTTTTTTTAAAGAACAAAAATAAACTCATGTAGACTACATGTATGTCTGATTTGGTCTCTTCTCAGCTCCTAGTAGATAAGTATCTCCCACACCAAGTTTATTTTTTATTTCTGAGACAGGGTCTTGCTAAGTCATTAGTTGACCAGGCTGGGCTCTAGCTTGCAATTCTCCTGCCTCATCCTCCCCTAGTGCTGGGATTACAGGTGTGCATCACCCCTCCTAGCCTCTTTCTTTCTTTCTTTTTTTTTTTTTTTTTGGGTACCAGGGATCGAATTCAGGACCTTGTGCTTGCCAAGCAGGCATTTAAGCCACTGATCTCCTTGGCCCTCCTGGCGCCCCCCCTCCCCAGCTTAGTGGTACTGAAGATTGAATTTAGGCACTTCTTTTTTAACCAGGGATTGAACTCAGGCCCTTGCGCTTGCCAGGGAAGCACTTATTCCACTGAGCCATCTCCCTGGCCCCTAGGCACTTCTCAATATGAAAAATGTCTTAGCACTGAGCTACATCCCCAATCCAAGAGAATCTGTTTTTCCTCTTCATCTCCTGCCATTTTTCTCTCTCTCCATCTTTCTTTTCTCTCCATCCGTCTCTGTCTCTCTGTTTCTCTCTCCCTCTCTCATTTTTTGAGAGGGTGTCACTATGTAATCCAGCCTGGCCTAGAACTCCCTTAAATTGCCCAGGCTGACCTAAAACTCATATCCTCCTCCTCAGCCTCTCAAGTACCTGAATTACAGGTGTGCAGTCATGTGCCTCCAAATTGAGCTACAGTCTCTCTAAAGGCATTTCCTAGCATGAGATCCCACTCTCAGGACCTGGTCTAAACCTAATCATGTCCTTAAGGCATTGTTTCCAAATACCATCATGTTGAGAATTAGGACTTCAACATAGGAACTTGGGGGAAGGCCAAATTCAGTCCATAGATGTCCCATGATATTTTGTATAATATATCAAGTTTGGGGTTTTTTTAGGGAGTGGTTTTTTTGTTTGAGACAGGGCCTCACTTTGCAGTGCAGGCTGACCTTGAACTTGCTATGTAGCCTAGGCTGGCTTTGAACTCACAGTGATCCTTCTGCCTCAGCCTCCCCAGTGCTGGGATCACAGGTATGCACCACCATGACTGGCTATAATAAGTTTGAAAATCATTAATTGAATAATGAGCTGGGGTGGCTAGAGGACATGGGCAAGATGGCAGTGGTGTTGGCCCTGGTGTGGAGGCCCCTGCAGCAGGTTTTGGGGTTGTTGAAGAGGTGCTTTCACTGGACCGTGCCCGCGATGCTGCAGGTGGCTGTTTGTGGTGCTATAAATCAAGGTATGGATGAGGAGCTGAAGAGAGATGAGAGATATTTCTGTTTGGGGAAGAAGTTGCCCAACACGATGGGGCATACAAGGTTAATTGGCCTGTGGAAGAAGTACAGAGACAAGAGAGTCATAGACACCCCCATATCTGAGATGGACTTTTCTAGAATTGCTGTGGGTGCAGCTATGGCTGGGTTGTGGCCCATTTGTGAATTTCTTTTTTCTTTTTCTTTTTACATTTATTTAGTGTGTGTGTGTGTGTGTGTGTGTGTGTGTGTGTGTGTGGCTGGCCAGCTCAGCCCACCACCAGGGGGCGGGGCTGGCTGGCATGTGGTGCTGGGGGATTGAACCACGGTCCCTGTGCTTTGCTAAGCTTGTTCTAAGTAGGTGCTTTAGACCACTGAGCCATCACTCTAGCCCCCCCATTTGTGAATTTCTGACCTTCAATTTCTTTATGCAAGCCATTGACAAGATTATAAATTTGGCCACCAAGACCTATTACGTGTCAGCGGGCCTCCAGCCTGTGCCTAGTGTCTTCTGGGTGCCCAATGGCACCTCGGCAGGTGTAGCTGCTCAGTGCTTGCAGTGTTTTGCTGCTTGGTATGGACACTGCCCTGGCTTGAAGGTGGTCAGCCCCTGGAGTTCAGAGGACGCTAAAGGACTCATTAAATCAGCCATTCAGAGTAACAATCCAGTGGTGGTGCTAGAGAATGAACTGTAGAGATGTATAGAGGTCATTTTGAATTACCTGCAGAAGCTCAGTCAAAAGATTTTCTGATTCCCATTGGAAAAGCCAAAGTAGAAAGCAAGGCACACATATAACTGTGGTTTCCCATTCGAGACCTGTGGGCCATTGCTTAGAAGCTTTGACAGTACTATTTAAAGAAAGAGTTGAATGTGAGGTGATCAATTTGCATACCATCAGACCAATGGACATCAAAACTATAGAAGCCAGTGTCATGAAGACTAACCATCTCGTAACTGTGGAAGGAGTATGAGCTGAAATTTGTGCCAAGATCATGGAAGGCTCTGCTTTCAATTTCTTGGATGCTTCTGCTGTGTGGGTCACTGGCCCTGATATCCCTATGCCTTATGCAAAGATTCTAGAAGACAACTCTGTACCTCAGGTCAAAGACATCACATTTGCAATAAAGAAGACACTAAATATCTAGTTCAGGCTTTAACATCAAGTTATTGAAATTTATTTAAAATACTCACTGGGACTTCTGGGTTGGACTGCAAGATCTTATTGTTCATAATGTCATCTGTGAAGCAGTGGTAGGTATTTTTATACTGGTAAAAACTAAGTGTGCTTGAGTGTTAACTCTACACTCCTGCACCAGACTCTATACTTTGTCTGTTACAGTTGCCTTGTTCTTTGAGTAAGATTGATATAAAAGGACAGGATCTTGATGAAAGATACAGCTACATGATAACTTATATGTATAAAAGACATTGTATAAATTTATTGTTATAGTGTTTTTTAAAATTTTT